AGTAATGTGAAACTCCTGGAGAGCCCCTTTAATACTTTTTTAACCACTTTGAAATAGCTTTGTTATTAAATAACCACCAGAACATCTTCTTATCACGCAAGTTATCATCTGTTCTCATGTTTTGTACTTTCAAGTATTCTTGCTAACAGTCTGCAACACCACACCAGTCCCAGGTGCCAAAGTCCAGACATACATGAATTACTTCCAATCAGCCTTGGATACATGAGTAATATTGTAATCAGGAGGCACTGAGGAAAGCCAAAGAGCCATACCTCAGTGCTACAGTACCTGGGGTGCTTGATGGAAGACAACAGAGCAAATCAAAGCAACCATCTGACCACCAGGAGGACCTCTGCTGGGTCAGGTCTTTGGCCTCCATCCAGCATTTAAGATCATCTATTATCCATATTCAACATCCTTCTGGCAACATCTGGAGGTAATCTGGACTGATTCACCTGGTCAGGATGCAGGCTGGAGCCAAGGTATTCTTCAGTTTGCAGGGAAAGCCTCACATCATCCCACAGATATCCATGCTCATGCACTCCAGCTCTTCTCTACGACACAAGTCCTGAATGATATCTCTGTATATTCTGTATATTTCTCCTTTTTAGGATGGAGGCATAAGAGGAGCAGGAAGAAACTGTTCTACAGCTTGTCCCTGTAGCAGAGACAGCATGGCAAATACGGCTGGCAAACCTGCTCAGGCACTGTCCTGAGCAGCTCAGCAATGAGCCCAGTTCGGAGAAGATCAGCTGGGGAACAGCTGAACTTTGTGATTTAATATTGGGGAAAAAAACCTAACACCAAGAGGATAGGAAGGATGGGGAACTGCAAATCTGCATACGACATGATTTTAGCCTCACTTGAGCTCTCCCCCTCCTACCCACTGTGGGATTCAGTGAGAAATGTAAGCAGAAAAGAAATAAACACACAAACAGTGACTTATTCTACCTAAGTACAAACCAATTCCTGGAGGGGAAGGGAGGAGAACAGAACTGGGACTGATATTACAGGCTTAGCAAGCAGGAGCACTTCAGCACATACAGCTGGCTTTGTCACTGTGTCACAAAGGCTCCCTGTTACCACTCCACCATTACAGCATTGTCCCATGCAGCCTCAAGTCCGAAGTTCAATGGCTGTATTAAACGAAGAAGTAATCGGGTGATGGTGTAAGTTGGCTTCTTGGAGCTCCCCATTCAGAGCAGGGATCCCAGCAAGGGCACCAAACCATCCCTTGCTCCAAGCAAAATGAGGACTAAAACTATATGCAGTGTCTCCACCACAGGCTGTTTTCCTGTGCAAAGCAGAAGTGCAACACTTAAGTAAGCATTTTACAAGCCCTTTCCATGCTGGCCATATTATTCAATCAGTGTACTATACAAGGACAAATACACAGAGCGTGTTCCAGTGCTGTCCAGGAAGAGCTGATCTCTTGTAGAGATCAACATCTGGCACATTTGCACCCTGTAAGGACAGCCTAGCCAAAAATAACATCGAATCCTACAAGAGAAACAGTTATTTGGCTGTTTGGATCCTAACCACATTAAAAATTACTCTCGATTTACTATTTTACTAAACCATTCCTGAAATTGTCGCTGGGGGCTGCCTGAAGGCTGCTCAGCTAGCCGCATGCAACTTCACATGTGCATGTGTTAAAAGAATAATGAGAAAGAACTATTTTATACAAGAAGAGTGCTGATCATCCCATGGTTTCTGCATGTATCTCTCCTGCTCCTCGTGCCAAGCACATCCCCTGCCCAAGGGAAATCCACTTTTTGGATGCCCTGGGACATGGAGATTCGCACACTTCTCTAGATAGGTCACACAGCTGTGAACTCAGTGCTGAGGAAGAAAACTGTGACTTGAGAACCTGGCTTCTCAGTCTGACCGCAGGGCAGGACCTTAACCACACTCACCTGAGCTGTGATTCACCTTAGAGTAGCACAAAAGCCACACATGTGAGTCAGGGCTGAAATACAAAACCACAGAGCTGGCTCAGCCCCTGGCACGTCAGTCTGCAGACCATCAGTGCAGACCTGGGACCACAACGCTAAGATTTTAATTGTGTTGTATTTCAGTTCTACTTTTGGGAAGCTCAGCACTAATAAAATAAACAGCACTTATGCAAAGCACTGGGGATGGAGGAGCATGTCTCTTCCTGGCAGAATCAGTACCTGTTTGGTGACACAGTTCTATGTTTATCCAGATAAGAACTGTTCTTTGATACAATTTCCCCTCTTAACCAATGCAGGGTGGGAGAAGCTTTAACATCTGAAGCACTGTGTGTCCCCGTTTAGAAGAGGCAGTGCACGCTAACAGCCATCTAGTTTCCTGAAATTGCTGCAGGATACAAAGATATGTCACATATCCTGGCTGACAGCTTTAGCACAAAGGCACACAATATGTGCCCGGGCTCTTTGTTAAATACTACATTGTCCCAGTGACTCAGTGCATTGGAATGCATCACGTTTATTCATAGCTTTTCTGATAGTCTTTAGATTAGGCACAAATTTCTGCCTTTTAGAAAAAAAGATATCTATGGCTTATTATTATGTGGAGCACACAAAATTCCTGGCCTCTTTTCCAGGGTGATAAACACAGCACTGAAACAAAAAGCCTGGCCCCCAAACCAAAGGGCTCTTTCAAGCTTCTAACAAGTAAGGTTCCAAGAACATTCAAGAGAGGAAAACCCAGATGTGCACCACAACCAGAAGTTCTGATCAGAAGGAAAGAGGGCAGAAGAGCAGCGAAGATGGTTGAAGTCACTGAACATCTGTAATGAGGACAGCTGAATCAGCTTTGGATCCTTCAGCCTGGAATACTAGAGTGCAATACCAAACCGCCCTCACTTTGAGTTCTTAATTGCTGTTGTGAGCAGACAGAGGGCAAGCACACCCACAGTGAGCCCAGGAAGCATCAACCACCTCCATTGACAGCAAGGGCCCTGCAATACAGCCTCCCCCAACACGTACCTTTCCTGCCAAGTCACGAAGCCTCACGTGATGCTTGAAGAGAAGCTTCCTAATATTGCAACCCCAGCCCAGTTACATACACATTTAGCGCACAGTCTTGAGAAACAATGACTTGTCAAGGACTTCTTTGAAACAGTTTCTTTTCCCATTCCAATCCATGGCAGTCAAAGACAGAGCCTGTCTCCAACATCTCATCTGTTCTATTCCTCTGCCATTTCCTACTGATCTGAATTCATATACGCAGATTTCTTGCTTGAATCACAATCTTCTGCCCTACAAAGGGACTCCAGGCCTCAAATCCTTGTCTCCCACTTCTGTTCTTCATCAGGCTCACAGAAGCGTACCTGGTTCTGAAGGTCAGTGCTGAGCCTGCCATACACAGCACTGGCTGTAATAAGAGTTCTGCAGGCCAAATTACGCCCTTGGGGAAGCAGACGCAGCCCTGTGGCCTTTTGCAGATTGCACAGCTGTCAGACTACAACTTACAGTACTCTCCTTAAGATACACAAGGAGAAAGAGAATTCAATGATATTGACTTATTTTAGCTCCTGAAGTCAGCGGATCTGACTCTAAGCACACTTGGGATTAGACCTGTCGATTATGACCACGGGGCAGCACTGACCAATAGCAGCATCATTTGTTCTTCCCACAACCTCTCTGCTCCTTTCAGTTTTAGCATTCCTCATGCTGTTTGTTGCAGCAGCCATCGTACCAGCTGAGAAGGGAGTCCCCACTGCGTATGGCACACTACAAAAGGTGCCAAAGGTAGAAAGACTGTCCTGAATTCAGAAGCAAACAGCTAAATGAATGGTGCGTAAGGTAGGAACAGATCAGCTGAACCAAGGACATCAGGCATGTCTCACGATACTTGCCAGAGGTGAGAAAATAAGAAGCCACACATCAGAAAGCTTCTTTTTCCCCTTCTTGCATAGAAGCACAAGCATTATCTGCCCTGCTCCCAGGATGTTTTTAAACCAACCTGCTAACACAGTCCAGTTTCCAGGCACACCATTTCCCCTTGTCCTTTGTTTATGAACACCTTCAGTTCTAAAATTCACCACCCCATCCTTAGGAGAGCGACCTGCTAGGGTCATTACAATGAAATTAATTGTGCTGTGGTCTCAGCCATCGCAGCTCCCACGCTCACCTGCTGTGTCTGTGCCTGCATTTTACATCCAAAAGCTGAGAGTCAGCTTGCAGATGCCTACAGTAGGCAGTTAACTATTTCAGCCTGGCTGTGCACCAGATGGACCAACATGTTCCAGTTAACCAGTATGCATTAACTGAGGTCCCTCACAGTAACAAGTTTAATAATACTTATAGACACCTCATAAAGCATAGGCTTGTTATTTCAGCCCATTAGTATGCGTGCAAGATATTTTAATGTGTAAAAAGTCCCCATGAAATAAGAATTTTCTCCTTTCAGGAAAAAAAAAAAGCCATCCTTGCCACGTACTAGGCAGTGCTTTCCAGTTCTGTCTTCATAGCCTTTCCATCCCATAAGTCAAGTCAAGCCTCATTTAACTGACTTTACAGCATGCCTCTAAGAGTAACCCCTGATTTGAGCAGGTTGCTCGTCGAGTTCAGCAAGGCTGCAATAGAGCAGGTGAACTCTTGCTCTCCTGACCCCAGGGCCTTTTCTGCTTTGCAGCACAGGAAACCACACATGACACATGATTGAATTATGTGGCAATGCCTTCAGCATAGATTTCCCACAGCCTCCAACAGGTACAAGGCACAGCTGTATTGGTTCTTTGTTCTGCTGGAAAGTGCACACCACTGGAAGTGGGGTACAGGCAGAATGTAGCACTTTGGATAAAAGGAACTGGAACCATCAGCTTCCATTTCTCTCAAAACAAAAGTTAAGCCAAGGGAGTTTGCATTTCTACGGCAGCGTTGTCCAAGTAAGCAGAGTTAATGCTCCTCTCCAGTGAAGTCAACCTGAAGACACTACACAGTGTGACAACAGAAAGTCATTTCAGAAAGGCATTACAGAAAGTCCCATCCTAGAAACGTAAGTGTACTTACTGGAAAAGGTGATCAAACAATCTGTCTCTCCTCTGTAGCCAGCTGTCCACTCATTCACCTGGATCCTGTCGGAGTGGAAAAAAAGGCTGTCAGTATAGGCAAAGTGACAGAGCCAAGAAGTAGGCCAGCTGAGGAAAGCTGGGCAGATCCTTCACAACACTGAAGTCGAGAACTAAGAATGCTGGCAAAGCTCAGAGCACTGCTGCAGTGCCTGAAATCAGCTATAGACTGCTTGCCTCCAGAGGCTCACAAGAAGGGCCAACCTGATCCAAGTGTAAAGCAAGATATTTATGTAAGAGAATGGCACCAACAGCTACAAAAAATGGCTGCTACAGAGAACTGTGTCTGTTTGTGATGCACACCTGACCACCAAAAGCACCATGACACGTGTGCTCTGCCTATTACACGGGGAAACGAGAACTCCCTTAGCAAGATGCAGCCCAGAAGGAATACAAGGGCTGTAATCCAGCACTCACTGAGGAGTGCCTTTAACAGACACACTGGTTCAACAAATTGTACCTCTGTAAGAAGGGGCCACTCAGCTTCTGCTTAACCCCATTGTGATCAAGCAGATTACCTACGGAGTGGTGTTATGATGCAAAGAAAAGTAAAACACATCACTAGCCATACACATTAATGTACATCACACAGAGACCAATTGTGCTTCAGAGAGACATTAAATCCACATTCAATTAACAAAGACCTCCCTTAAGATGGGCATTAAATAATTCCCTACCATGCACGGAGATAACTGGCCACTCCACAGAAATGGAATAGGAACCTCCTCATCTCCCTGCCAATAACATCTCCATTCAAACTTGCCCTTAAAACAACAAGGGGCCAGCGAGGAGGGATGAGGGGCAGGAGAGTCACTGCTGGCACACTATTGTGTGCTTATATTAAAGACTCCTCATCAGAAAATTACTCGAAACGGATGTTGTTCATGTTTATCAATAACAGAGCTAATGGCTTTTATGTAAATGCCATTACTCTCAGTCAGAGCTGCAAAGGACTCAGCCCCATCTCCCCTCGTGAGAGACACCGCTTCAGGCAGCCAATCTAAATGCAAATTATAATCAAATGGCAAAACCAGGAGTTCTCTGGATGAGACCAAAAACTTCAAATTAAGGACAAGGCGTACTGATTTTGAGAGAACATCCCTCCTTGCCGTAAACACAGAACACCTGCTGGGCTCACACTGCTTCTTCAACCCCAACATACACAAAAATTCAAGCCCAACTTGATTCCTCTTTGCAGCCCTCCTGTTTACCTATAGAGCAAAGAGCACCATTTGCAGGGGATGCGACTCTCCGTGGTGCAGAGCTGGAAGAAGAGGTGGTGCTGCGGGATGGGTTTTTGGAGGCAGAGATTTAGAGCTGCTGGCAGCACGAGAAGCGCCTCTCTCATGGCATAAAAGCTTTTCAGAAGAGCACTTAAATCACAACCCCCACCTGGAGGATATGTCAAACGCAGCGCTTCGTCGGCACCGATTACAGGAACGCACTAATGACAAATTTGGTAATAAATAACATTAAAAACCATGCTGTTTATTAAGTGGAACGCACAGAAGAGAAACTAACGATTACAACAAAGGCCAGAAATGTAACAGCATAACTACTGCACACGTCTGTCAGAGAGCCCACAGGGGACTGGCTCCCCGGCAGCAGAACACCAAAGCTCCCACTCCCCAGAGGTGGACACATCCTCAGGAGCACGCAGCCAATTAGTGATGGCTGCAGAGGTGCTCGTCACACGGGTTCAGCACTTTGTATGGTTTGGAAGAGCAGAACACAGGAATATTCATAGAGCAGAACTTGGCTAATTAATGTCAATAACTGAGAGACCTGTTCTGCAAACAGCTGGATTTTGTGGATTAGCAGCGAGCAGACGCACAGCGCTGGGGAGCAGCGAGAGGATGCAGCTCAGCACCTGGCTGCTGCTTCAGTATCGCAGTTAATGATTTATCCTTGGGCCTTAATGTCCACGAACGAATGAATGCCCAGTCTGTAAATAAAGCACCTCAGCCTGTGCACAGCCCAGCTGCATCTGACTGCTGGGGTTTGACTGGCCGTCAAAAGAGGTATTAAATTCAAAACCACAGCCCTGCCTGCCTTCCCCCAGAAGCTTCTCATGAGGACTGGCATCTCTGAAGTCTCAGTCAACTCCTCTTCTTTCTCCACAGCTGCTTTGACATAGCTTGTGGTTAAACAATTACTCACAGACCCATTGTTTTCTGCACTAAAATAAGACACAGACTTTCAGTCCTCCCTCACAGCATGGAGCTGCAAAGGCTCCTTCCTCCTCTTCCTCCAAAGCCATGGTAAAGCAGCACAGCTACACAATCCATCTTTGGCAAAAGGAGCCCCAACTTACAGCTTGTTACCACATGAAAGCCCACCTGGAATCAGCACAGAATTGAGTTAGAAAGAACACATAAAAGCCACCTGCTCCCACTCCCTGCCATGAGAAGGAACAGCTCAGAGCCTGTCCAGCCTGACCTTGGCTGTCTGAAGGGGACAAGACACCCACCACCTCTCGAGGCAACCTGTGCCAGTGCCCCACTGCCCTTATTGTAAAGATCTTCTTCCTTAAGTCCAACCTAAATCTCCTCTCTTTTAGTTTGAAACCATTTCCCCTTGCCCTATCACAACAGATCCTGATAAAGAATCCGTCCCTTCTTTTCTTACAGCCACCTTTTAGGTACTGAAAGGCCACTCTCAGGTCTCTCTGCTGCCTTCTTTTCTCCAGGCTGCGCAGCCCCAGCAACCTCAGCCTCTCTTCCTATGAGAGGTGTCCCGTTCCATGGATCATTTTTGTGGCCCTTCTCTGGATGCATTCCAACAGGTCCACGTCTCTCCTGTACTGAGGACTCCACATCTGGATGCAGTGCTCCAAGTGAGGCCTCACCAGAACAGTAAACAAAGGCAGAATCCCCCCCTTTGTCCTGCTGGCCACACTGCTTTGGATGCAGCCCAGGATACAGCTGGCATTCTGGACAGCGAGGCCACAGTGCGGGCTCACGTTCAGCTGCCATCCATCATTACCCCCAGGTTCTTTTCGACAGGGCTGTGCTCTACTCTTACATCCCCAGCTTGTATTGACAGCGGGGGCTGCTGTGACTTCAGGTGCAGACTCTGCACTTGGCTCTGTTGAACCTCGGGAGGCGGTCGCACGCCTATGAGCTGTGGGAGAAGAGGAAAAAATAGGAGAAAAAAAAAAAAAAAAGGAACAAGCCCTTCCAAAACAAGTGCATCTCTTCCCCCATTCACACACCTCAGTGCTGCAGATCACAGCCCAACCCTGCAACAGATGTCCTGCTGAAAGCAGCAGCACTGCGAAGCAAACAAGCGTTCAGGCACGGCGACTCAGGGAATGCTGCTCCAGGAACGTGGTGCATCGGGGACGGTGCTGCTCAGCCACCCGAGATTTCACGCACAGCCACCACCATAATCTGATTTCACAGGCGTCTCCCGACTTCAGCTGTCAAACCGCAACCGCGGCCCATTTGCTGCAGCAGCAGCGCGCTCGAAAACCAGAGCTGTTCCTGGAGCAGAGCCATTTCCTCCCAGAAATTCAAGGTTCAAAAATCAGAGAATCTCACCGCAACCCATGGACTCGCTGCTTCCCTTTGCGAGAGTTCGGGTTTACGCTCACCAAAAGGGTCGGAGCAGCAGAGCCTTTTCTTACTGCCTTTTGTGCGAGGCTTCACACTACGATGAATGGGTGGAAATGCAAAGCAGAAGTTCGCACAAAGAGAAAGCAGCGTGTGAGGTGGTTTCTTCTGAAAAAGAGAAGGAGCAGGAATGACTTACTGCCTCATTAAAGAGCCCCAGGCTGCATTTTTATTAGATATATTTAGATGCCAGTGGTTAAAAAAACAACAAAAATTAAAAAAATAAATAAAGAGAGAGAAGGGGGAGCACCTATATTCTTCAGGTATGGGCCTGGATAAGTCACATGGCTACAAACTAAACCACAGCAGACACTCCAAACACAAGTGTGGAATGTTAATGGTGCACACGAGGACTCAGAAAATCACCATCAATCTGCACAAAGGTGAAAAGAGTCTGCTGCTGCAGGACCGTGCCTTTTCCCCACGTTCTCACACAGCAAATGCCTGTTCATGCCTCAGCCCACAGTTGCTCCAGTGTTCCTCTTTGTGCTTTCTTACCTCATTACAGCTTGTAAGCTGCTCAATGCAATGAAAAGGCAAGTCAGTGGAAAATTTACTATCTCGGTGGTAAAACTGAGCCCATGCCCCTGCTGACAGCCTTCCCACCACCACCTCCTATGGCACTGCATGATCCCATGCACCTCCTGCTGTGGCCTCCATCCTGCAAGCCACCTGCAGCTCCAAAGAAAGGCTTTATTCATAAAACATCCCGAGTTGGAAGGGGCCCATAGGGATCACCACGTCCAATTCCTAGTTCAAAACACATTTCCTATGTACATACCCCATACATGTATATGTCCAAGTATATATATTCTGGCCTGCACAGTGCACAACTTGCTAATAACGTAAATGATATCTCCCCAGCTTAATGGGATGAGAAGTTATGGCTCTACACTGGCACTGAACAAAGCAAGGCGGCACGCCCAGAGCCAGCATGCCTCACAACCACTAAACACACATTTCTGTGCTCTACGTGGGCAGCAACTGCTGTCCAGAACGTTTTAACAGCAGAAACCGCACTGCTTGATGCGGGAGGAAAAAAATAAACCAAACCCAAATACGTTCTTCCTCCTCTTCAAAGCCAGAGCATAAGAAACAAGCAATGTAATTATTCCCACACAAGGGGAAGGAAAATAAACCCAAAGAACACACACATGAGGAAAGAAACAAGTCTCAAAAAAATGCATTTTCAAAATAGTTCAAGGGCTTCAGTGCCAGGCCATAGCCTTACAGCAGGAGTCAGGAAGAAACTACAGAGAACGGACTTCAGGGCTGCTGCATCCCGCAGAGCCCCCAGCACAATCTCTCCTGCACGCAGCATCATTCCCTGCCTCCTCCCCTGCTCAGCAAAACTCCCAGCCCAGCATCCAGCAGTGAAGAGGCCAGCTGTGA